CGGCTTCCGACTTCGGCACACAGCTTGCAGCAGCGAGGGAATGCATGCGCAAAGCACAGGAAGGTCAAGCCAGAAACTATGATAAACGACGTTCCGCAGTCAGCTTCAACCCGGGCGACTTGGTTCTGGTGGATTCGCACGCCCTCCGTAGCGCGCAGGAGGGCGAGCAACCCAAAAAGTTTGCCACACGACGGGTTGGACCGTTTGCGGTCCGCTCTCCGGTCAACGCCTTGGCGTATATTATCGATTTACCCCCAACGTGGAGATGTCACCACACTATTAATGTGGGTTTCTTAAAACAGCTTCGGGGATCTCCGCGGTTTCCTCGCACTCTAGCGAGGAAACCGCACCAACGACCCCGCGAGCTTCCCCGCCTCGAGGAGACAGAGATTCTCGAAGTGCGGGTTAACGCCCGCCGCGGCCATCGGAAACGCGAATATTACGTCAAATGGCCGGGCACACGCGATCCCGAGTGGGTTTCGGAGGATCGACTACGGGATGCGATCCCCCCCGAACAGCTAAGTGCTCTCCTGGACCTCGCATCGCCTACACCTAGTGTGTGGATGCAGGCAGGTTGCGGGAGTGGGTAATGGGTGGCTCGCTGTTAGTGGATCCCTAGGCGGATCCCTGCAAATTATCCTATTTTAATCCCCCGATGCCCCCGGAGGCTAACTACGTTGCCTCCATATTTGGATCTTCCCTCTTACACACGACGCGCTAGGTCGCGGGAGGGCGCTGACGACCAGTAGTACCTTTGCCCAGTGGGGCTGGGCACCACCTTTGGGGCTTTGTTGAGGCTTTCTCGGGCGCCCAGTCGGCGGCGACCCGCCGCAGCGGGACGGGCGGTTTGCAACTGCATTGATGCTGGATGACTTGGAATCAAGCATCCAGACACCCGAAAGCAGCCTTTCTTTCATCTTTTAGCCCAGCGGCAGCGCCGGGAGCGGCGTCAGGCGCCACTTCGGCTAGCCACCAGCTGTGGCCCTGGTCGGGCCGGCATCGCAGCAGTTTCGCTGCTTTCGTCCGGCCTTTCCTCTCTTTTCGCCTTTCCGTTGCTCCTATTTGACGTTTCGGTTGCAGGCCAGCTTATTCAGGTGGTGCCGAGGCACCGTCGCAGCAACGAGGCGGACGCCGCATCATGACTCGCCGTTTGAGTCAGATGAGGAGAATGACACGCTGCTTCCTCCCACCCATCTCTCTCCCTCGACATCCTTACATATCGGACCCCTTTTCACCAGTTTTCCCTTGTTTCATCGCAGGAACGGGCACCGGGGAGGAGAACAGCAGAGGCAGCAGCAGCGGCAGCAGCAGCAGCAACCGATCAAGTTCAACATGACCATCTGCGCACGAGGACGTGCGCTTTTTGCTGATGGGGGGGCAGATGTAACATGAGTTAGCGC